GTCCCAGCAGTTGGGAGATCGGATTCCCACCCCCAGCCACTTCACACTCGGCTGCAAACCATCCCAGTGCACGCTGGAGGTCCTGGTTTGATGTAGCCAACAGGACAATGTCATCTCCAAAAAGTAGAGATGAAATCCTGTGGTCCCCAAACCGGACTCCCTCTGGCACCTGGCTACACCTAGAAATTCTGTCCATAAAAATAATGAAGAGAACCAGTGACAAAGGGCAGCCCTGCCGGAGTCCAACATGCACCGGAAACAAGTCTGACTTACTGCCAGCAATGTGAACCAAGCTCCTCTCCGGTCGTACAGGGACCGGACAGCCCTTAGCAAAGGGCCCCCGGACCCTGTACTCCCGGAGCACCCCCCACAGGGCGCCGCGAGGGACACAGTCAAATGACTTCTCCAGATCCACAAAACACATGTGGACTGGTTGGGCAAACTCCCATGAACCCTCCACCACCCTGGAGAGGGTATAGAGCTGTTTCAGTGTTCCACGGCCAGGACGAAAACCGCATTGTTCCTCCTGAATCCAAGGTTCGACTATCAGTTGAATACTTCTCTCCAGTACCCTGGCATATACTTTCCCGAGGAGGCTGAGGAGTGTGATCCCCCTATAGTTGGAACACACCCTCCCATCCCCCTTCTTGAAAAGAGAGACCACCACCCCAGTCTGCCAGTCCAGAGATGCTGTCCCCAACTGCCAAGTGATATTGCAGAGGCGTGTCAGCCAAGACAGCCCCACAACCTCTAAAGACTTAAGGTACTCAGGGCAGATCTCATCCACCCCTGGTACCTTGCCACCAAGAAGCTTCTCAACTACCTCAGTGACTTCAACTTGGGTAATGGCCCACGTGAGCATTGAAGTCCCCCAGTAGAACGATGGAGTCCCCAGTCGGAGCACTTTTCAGCACCCCTCCCAGAGACTCCAAGGAGGCCAGGTACTCTGCATTGCCATTCAGCCCATAGGCACAAACGACAATGAGAGACCTATCCCTGACACGAAGGCGCAGGGAAATGACCCTCTCATTCACCGGGGTAAACTCCAACACATGGCGGCTAAGCTGGGGGACCATAAGCAAGCCCACACCAGCCCGCCACTTCTCACTGCGGGCAACTCCAGAGTAGTGGAGAGTCCAGCCTCTCTTGAGGAGTAAGGTTCCAGAGCCCAAGCTGTGTGTGGAGGTGAGCCTGTGTATCTCTAGCCGGC